GGAGCCGCGGCCCCTGCTGCCCTTCGCGGGCCGCGTGCCGCGCCTCCGGCTGTCGACGGCCGCGCTCATGCTGACGCTGGCCGGCGTCGAAGCCGGCGACGTCGTCTTGGACCCCATGTGCGGCGTGGGCACGATCCCCACGCTCGCGGCGGCGCTGCTCCCCGTCGCCTTCGCTCTCGGCGGCGACGTCGAGCCGGACTCCGTGGCGCGGGCCCGCGCCAACGCGCTGGGCGACCCGCGCGGCGACGACGACGCCTGGCACGCCGACGAGCGCACCTACGCCGGCGGCTCCGGCGTCGCCGAGTGCTGCGCGGTCTGGTCGAGCGATTCGCTCCCGCTCCGGAGTGGGAGCGTCGACCGCGTCGTCGTCGATTTACCCTTCGGGAAGATGCACCAGGTCCGCGGCAAGGGCGGCCGCGTCAACGCGCGGCGGTCGCTGCTGGAGAAAACGCTCGGCCACTGCGCGCGTTGCGCGCGGCCCGGCGGGAGCCTCGTCGCCCTCGCGGGGAGCCGCCGGGCCCTCGACGACGCCGTCGACGCCGCCCACTGGCGCCACGGCCGCAAGCTGCCCATCAACTGCGGCGGCGCGGTGCATTGGATCGGCGTCTACGAGCGCACGGCGGAGCCCTGGGCCGGCCACCGGAGGCCGGCCTTCGCGCCGAAGAAAAGGCGCGGCAAGCGGCGCAAGGCGGCGCCGGACGATGTCGGCGCGGCCGCGGCCCCCGGCGGCGGCGACGCGAGGGAGGACGCGGCCGGCGGCGGCGGCGACGCGACGGAGGACGCGGCCGGCGGCGGCGACGCGAGGGAGGACGCGGCCGGCGGCGGCGGCGCGAAGGAGGACGTCCCCTCGCGCGCCCCCTCCGTCGCCCCGCGCTGGGCCGCCGCGCTCGTCGCCGCGGGCGTCGCCGTCGCCGCGTTTCGCTGGAGAAGGAGGCGCCTCTAAATGTCCACCCTTACTCTAGCTCGAGAACTCGGGCCCGAGGACGTTGGCGACGACGGGCCGCAGCGCGGCGGCGACGCGCGGCCGGTCGTGCTCCGGCGCGTCCTCGAGCTCGCTCAGGAGGCTCACGCGGAGCTGCTCGAGGGGCTGGCTGTCGTTCTGCCAGCTCCGCAGCTTCTCGAGGACGCTCCGGCCCGCCTGCACCGCCGCGTCGTTGCCCAGACCCAGGTCCTCCTCGACGTCCGCCTCGATCGCCGGAATCTTCGCGTCCGCGTGCGCCAGCGCCGCGGCGACGAAGTTGCCGCTGTCCGCGAGCACCGCGAGCAGCTCCTTGACGGCGAGGGCCGACCGCGAGACGACGTCGGCCTCGTAGGCCTCCGCGCTGTCGGCGCCCGCGGCGTCCGCGAGCGTCTTCAACACGCGCGCGGCCGCGTCGACGGGCAGGCGCGTCGACGCGCGGTACGCGAGGGCCTCGTTCGCGACCTGGCGCAGCGCGACCTCGAGCGCGTCGGAGCCCGCGAGCTCGAGCGCCTGGTCCGCTCTGGCGACGAGGTACAATTCGAGGAGCTCCGCGACGGACGAGGACCCGGCGCTCGCGGCGGCCTCGAGCGCGGCGACGGCCGCCGACGGGCCCGCGTCGCCCCGCATGGCGCCCATCATCTTCGCCGCCGACACCATGCCGCCGCGCACCTTGGCCTCGACGCTCTCGGCGTCGGCGGCGCCGAAGAGGTCGCCGGCGTCGTCGTCGTCGGCGCCGCCGCGGAGATCGACGGCGGCGCGCGCGCCCCGCGGCGGCGCCGGACCGCGCAGCGCCGACGCCGACGCGACGGCGAGGAGCCAGATCGATTTCGTGAACGGCATCTTGCCCACGGATGCGACGCCCGACGAGCTTGATGCCGATCGAGATCGAGAGACGCTCGACGAGCTTGATGTCGATCGGAGTCGATCACGATCGTCTCGAGCTCTCAAGCTTGCAAGGTGCAACAAGGTCAACAACGGCCCGTCGGGCAAGCGCAGACTTTGGGCTGCCCAGCCTTCGGCCCAGACAGATGATCGGCGGCGGCGGGGACGCCGACGGCGCCAAGGACGCCCGCGCCAAGCTCGGCACGCGGAGCGAGTCGGTCTACAAGGACCGGTTCCGCCCCAGCCTCGACTGCGAGCTCCGGCTGGGCCAGGCGGCGGCCTGCGGCTGGCTCGAGAAGCATCCCTCGGTGCGCGCCGCGCGACCGCCGCGCGGCCGCGCTAAAGTTCCCCGCGCCAGGTGCTGCCCAAGTCCATCTTCGGCGAGAAGCGGCACCGCCGCGTCCGGGAGCGACGGCGGTTTTGGGAGAAGTGGCGCTTAGGTGGCAGCCCCGATTCTTCCTCGCGTCGAAGCACTACCTGCGCTACTACAAGGACAACACGCCCGGCCGCATGCTCCTCGGCGCCGTGGACCTGCGACACGTGGACCTGCCCGAGGCGCGGGGCTGCCTCTTCTCCCTGGTGCGCGCGCGACCGAAACCCCCCCCCCGGTCGTCACTCCGCGGCCGCAGGTCATGGCGGACTCGTCCATGGAGCTCCGGGCGCCGGACGCGGAGAGCGCCGCGCAGTGGGTCTACAAGCTGCGGCTGCTCCAGCTCGACGACTCGATCACGCTGTCGCGGCGCGCGGCGTCGGGCGAGAGCAAACGCGAAACGTCGAAGGACGGACCCGTCGAGGCCGTGTCCCTCGGCGCGCTCGGCGCGGCCGTCGCCGGCGCGGCGGCGACCAAGGGCGCGGCGCGCGGCGGCGACGTCGCCCCGCCCCCGGCGCCGCCGCCGCCGCCGGAGGCCGCGGACGACGCGGCGTCGACGTCCGCGGCGTCGCTGAGCTCGTCGACGCTCTCCGCGGAGAGCGGCGAGGCCGGCGGGGGCCGCGCGACGCGGCGCGCGTCCGTGCGCAAGGGCGACGCCCTGACGCCGCCCATGATCGAGACGCTGCGGCCGTCCATGGAGGTCGCGCAGGCGGGGTTCCTGCTCAAGCGCGCGTCGTCGCGGCGCGCGCTGCGCGCGTGGCACCGGCGCTTCTTCGTCGCCACGGGCGCCTACCTGCGCTACTTCGCCGACGACTCGGCGGGCCGGCGCGTCCTCGGCGTCATCGACCTCGCGGGCGCGGACGTCGCCCCCGCGGCCGACGACGGCCGCGACTTCGAGCTCCGCTTCGACGACGGCGCGATGCGCTTCCGCGCGGACGACGAGCCGGCCCGCGACGCCTGGGTCGCGACGCTCCTCGAGCTCAAGGAGCTGCTCGTCACGCGCGAGGCCGCGGCGTCGCTGCCCCTCGCCGACGCGGTGCCCGTCGCGGACGACGCGCCGCGCGCCGGCTGCTGCGCGCGGCTGCGCTGCGGCCGGCGGCGCCGCGCGGCGACGCGGGGCGCGGCGGGGCCCGCGGCCGACGCGGCGCCCCCGCCGCCGCCCACGGCGACGCCCCTCCACACGTCCCTCTAATGTTACGCTTTCTTCTTCTTCGGGATCGCGGGCCGCGGCGGCGAGGCCCGGCGGCGCGCGTCCGCTTTCTTCGTCGCGGCGGCGTGGAACGCGCCACGATTCGCCGCCGCCGCCGCCTGCTTCCGCCGCTCGATGTCCTTCCGGCGGTCAAGCGCCCGCGAGCGCTCGTCGATGGCGGCCCACGGCGAGTCGGAGGCCCGGCGGCGCGGCGCGTCCTGCGGCGTCTTCTTCGGCTTGAGCCGCTCCGCCGACTCGTCGTCCGACGACGCCTCGTCCGCGAAGGCGCCTTTTTTGGGCTTCGCCGGCGCCGGCGCGGGTGCGGGCTGCTTCCTAGCTCGGACGGCGCTCGTTTCCGGTACCAGCTTCGCTCGCTTCGGCACGGCCTCCTGGTCGGCCCACACGCCGCGCTTCTTGGGCACGGGCACGGGCGCCCGCGCCGCTTCGCTGCCCGTCCGCCTCCTCTTACCATCCATGCGCAAACTCTTGAAGGGCTTTCTTGATTCGCGACTTGAACACATCAAGAAACGAAGTTTTCCGAGGGCAGCCCCCCGATCCGCGATGGTCCTGCCCACGGTGAAGGACACGCTGCTCGTGAGCCTGCTGTCCGTCACGCCCAAGTCGCTCACGAGCTCGGCCATCGGCAGCCTCGCGCGGTCGGCGCTGTCGAAGCCCCTGGTCCGCTACTACGTCTGGTCCAACGGCATCGACCTGAACGAGGCGGAGTGCAGCGACGTGGGCGCCTACGCGACGCTCGGCGAGCTCTTCACGCGCGGGCTCAAGCCGGGCCTGCGGCCCGTCGACGACAGCCCGGGCGTCGCCGTCGTGTCGCCCTGCGACGCCGAGGTCGCGTTCGTCGGATCCGCGGCGGACCACGGCGCGGCGCTCGCGGACGGCCGGCGCCTCGACCTGCGGAAGTTGTTGGGCGACCGCGTCGGCGCCCCGGACGACGACGTCGTCGTCTTCTACCTGTCGCCCCGGGACTACCACCGCGTCCACAGCCCCGTCGACGGCGCCGTCGCCGACGCCGCGCACGTGGCCGGCGAGCGCTGGGCCGCGCGGCCCGGGGCCACGAACGGGTGATTCCAACGTCGGGTCGTTCCGCGCGCGCGTTCCGGAAACAGCATCCACGCGTCGAGAGCGCTCCGAGGGATGATCGCTCGTCCAAGAATCGGCCGAAACGAGCGGGACGTGGCCGAGATCGGAGCCTTTGAAGTTGGGAACTTCACACCCTGTTGCTGCCCAGGTGCGGCCCGCGTTCGTGCGCGCCATTGAGGGCCTATTCGAGCGCAACGAGCGCGTCACCATGCGCTTCGCGGGCCCGCTGCCCCTCAGCGCGACCCTCGTCGCGGCCTTTGGCGTCGGCCACATGACGTGGCCGGACGGCGCCGTCGTCGCGACGGGGCCGTCGCCGCACGCGGGCGGCGTCGCGCGCGGCGCGCACCTCGCGACCTTCGGCCTCGGGTCCACGGTCATCCTCACGGCGCCCAGAGGCGCCGTGGACTGGGACCTCGCCGTCGGCGACCGCGTCAAGGTCGGCGCGAAGGTCGCGACGTGGCGGAAGGCCGCGCGCGCGCCCTAGTGGGGTCTTCCCCTCCTTACGTCCGCGGCTTCTTCGCGGCGGGGCACCGGGGGCCCGGGAGCGCCGCCGGCGGCGCGTCGAGCTTCCAGGGGAGCTCCTCGCCGTGCATGAGGGGCACGAGGCGGCCCTCGGCGAACGGGTACTCCGCGGGGACCGTCCAGGCCTCCCGGCGCAGCGCGACGGTCTCCGCGCTCCGGGGCCGGCCGTAGAAGTCGGGCCCGTGGAAGGACGCGAAGCCCTCGAGCTTGTCGAGCGCGCCGGCGCGCTCGAAGGCGAGCGCGTAGAGCTCGAGGGGCGCGTGCGCGGAGAAGACGCCCGCGCAGCCGCACGCGCTCTCCTTCTTGAGGTACTCGTGGGGCGCGCTGTCCGTGCCCAGGAAGAACTTGGGGCTCCCGGACGTCACGGCCGCGGCCATGGCCGCGCGGTCCGCCTCGGCCTTGAGGATGGGCATGCAGTAGAGGTGCGGCTTGAGGCCGCCCGCGAGCATGTCGTTGCGGTTGAAGAGGAGGTGCTGGGGCGTCACCGTCGCCGCGACGTTCGGCGGGCCGTTTAAGATGTAGGCCGCGGCCTCCTTCGTCGACGCGTGCTCGAGCACGATCCGCAGGTTCGGGTAGCGCCGCGCGACGGGCTTGAACGTGTCCTCGAGGAACGTCGGCTCGCGGTCGAAGATGTCGACGTCGCCCGTCGCCTCGCCGTGGACCAGCAGGAGCAATTGCCGTTTCTCCATCTCGTCGAGCGCGTCCGCGATCTTCGCGACGTCGCTGACGCCGCCGTGCGAGTTCGTCGTCGCGCCCTTGGGGTAGAGCTTGCACGCCGCGACGACGCCGCTGTCGGCGGCGGCGGCGACGTCCGCGCGCGTCGTGAAATCCGTGAGGTAGAGCGTCATGAGCGGCTCGAAGGCCGACCCGGGCGGCAGGTGCGCGAGGATGCGCTCGCGGTAGGCGACGGCCAGCGCCGCCGTCGTCACCGGCGGGCTCAGGTTCGGCATGGCGATGGCGCGCCCGAAGGACCGCGCGGCGAAGGGCACCGTCGTCGCCAGCGCCGCGCCGTCGCGCAGGTGGTGGTGCCAGTCGTCGGGCTTGGTTAACGTGAGAGTCTGCATCGCAAGTTGCTCAGCCATGCCTTTGATTTCTGAGCCCGAGCCAGAGGTAGGACATCTAGGTAGGACCAGGATTGTTGCACGGCAACAACCACGGGTCCTCCCTTTCTTGGCTTCTCTCTTGGCCCCTGAGCAAGTGGGGCAGCCATCCGCACCATGCACCCCCTCGTCGCGGCCCTCGTGCCCGCGGCCGTCGCCGGCGGCTCGCTCAAGGCCATCGTCGCGCCGAAGCAGGCGCGCCTCGGCGCGGCCCGCGACGCCCCGCTTTACGTCACCGGCCCCGGCTCCACCGCCCTCGGCGCCACGGGCGCCTACTCGATCGCGACGCTCGACGAGACGAACGGCACCATCCTCTCGACGACGCCCGCCATCTACTTCAGCGACGACGGCGTCATGCCGGGGTGCAACGCCGCGGCGGCGCCCGCGGACGGCGTCTATTGGAAGACGGCTCCGCTGGAGGCGACGTTCGAGAACGCGAACGCGAGCGCGTACCACAACTGCGCGGGCTGCGTGGCCGGGCCGGGCCACTGCTGCGCGGACCCGACGACGCCGTCCATGACGCCCACGTGCTTCAAGGCCGCCTGCGACGAGATCCCCGCGGGCGCCGCGGGCGAGATCTTCGCGCTCGGCATCGACGCCGCGACGGGGGCCGTCGCGGCGAACAAGACCTTCGCCCTCCCCGCCGTGTCGCCGCCCTTCAGCGCCTGGGACGCGACCATCGACAAGGCCTGGACCGTCGTGCCCTACTCGTACACGGAGGCCGGGCTGTTCCTGTTGGACTACGCGAACGCGACGGCGACGAGGGTGTCGACCTTCGCCAAGGGCGCGACGGACGGCATCGGCGTCTGCGAGGGCCGCGTCTTCACGGCCGCGGACACGGGGGCCAGGGCGCTCGCGTACCAGTTCGGCGGCGGCCTCAAAGACGAGCTCCGCGTCGTCGACCTGGCCGACGGCGGCGGCTACGCCGTCGTCCACGCGCTGCCGGGCTTCTACTCGGGCCTCGCCAACGACCCGAAGGACGCCTCGAAGCTCTTCGGCGTCGTCAACGTCAAGAACAAAGGCCTCGAGCTCGTCCACTTCGACCCGACGGACGCGAACGCGTCGACGACGCTCCTGAAGATCAGCAACACGAGCCTCGGGCGCATGCTCCGGGCCCAGGACCAGGCCGACTTCGCCGTCGACGCAAACGGCGACCGCGCCTGGCTCGTCGCGTCCTACAACGTCGACCCGGGCGGCAAGCTCGTCCGCGGCCTCTTCACCGTCGACGTCGCGGCGGACCGGTCCTCGGCGTCCCTCGTCTCCACCGTCGAGGCCTTCTCCGACGACGACGGCAAGCCCTGGTTCGGCACCCTCGACTACTTCCCCTAGGCCCCCCCTCGCGGGGGCCGTTAAAGTTCAGCGTGGACTCGTTGAAGTGAAACACGGCTCCGGCTGCCCGACGCGTCGATGGGCGCGGCACCGTAGCCGCGCCGCGTCGGCCGTTCGGCGCGCGTCGGCGATGAGCGCGCCGCCGCGCATCGTCTACGTCTGCACGAGCAACACGTGCCGCAGCCCCATGGCCATGCACCTCGCGCGCGCGCGCGCGGCGGACCGCGGCCTCAGCGGCGCCGTCGACATCGTCTCGCGGGGGCTCACGGACCGCTACAGCGCCTGGGGCTCGCCGGCGGACCCGCGGGCCGCCGCGGCGCTCGGCGCGGCGACGGGCCTGTCCTCCGACGGCCACGGCTCGCGCGCGCTGACGGCGGCCGACGTCGACGGCGCGGCGGTGCTCTTCTACTTCACGGACGAGCACGTCGGCTGGATCGCCGGGAGCGTCGGCGAGGCGCCCGTGAGACGGGCGCTCGACGACGGCCGGCTCCGGAAGGTCGACCCGGCCGGCGGCGACGTGCCCGACCCCTTCTTCGGCGACGACGCGTTCTACCGCGAGGTCTGCGCGCTCATGGTCGCGTGCGTCGCGGCGACGCTGGACGCCGCGCTCGCCGAGATCTTACGATAGCAGGCCGAGGTGGCCGAGGAGCAGGGCCGCCGCGGCGTCGTTGACGTCGTCGGAGTAGTGCATGCCGTCGGCCGACGCGTCCGGCCGCGCGCGCGTGAGGCGGCCGTAGTCGAACGTCGTCCAGCCCGCGGGCTCGAGGTGGCGCCGCGCGGCGGCGCCGAAGGCGGCCGCGCGCGCGTCCGTGCAGTGGGGCTTGCGGAACTTGTGGAGCGCCGGGGGCGCGACGAAGACGAGGCGGAGCCCCGGCGACGACCGCCACCGCGCGGCAAAGGACGCGAAGAACGCGTCCGTGTCGTTGAGGGACCGCGTCTCCATCTCGTGGAGGAGGCCGAAGTTCGCGACGAGGACCCCGCGCGGGAACAGCTTCGCGCGGGCGTGCCACTGGCGCCGCTCCTTGCCCGCGACGCCCAGCAGGCTCAGCTTCGTGCGGTTGTCGTTGCCCGACCAGGCCTTGCGCTTCTGTTTGAGCACGGCCCGGGGCCCGAGGCGCCGCGCGGCGGCGTTGTAGAGGTCCCGCACGATGGAGTCGCCCCAGAAATGAACCGCGCGCGCGTCGGGCGGCGCGGCGCGCGCGCTTGCCCGCCGTCGCAGCGCCAGGCCCAGGCGCCCGCCGCGTCGCGGCGCCGCCACGAGCCCCGGCAGGGCAGGTCGTCCGTCGCCGCGGCCGGCGGGGTCCGAGACGCGGCCCGGACCGGCGCGGGCGAGCCGAGCGCGCGCGCGAGGTGGCGGCACGGCGAGTCCGCGACGGCGAACCAGGGCCCGCCGCGCGCGCGCCGGTTGTTCGACGCGGCCGCCCCGCCGCGGCGCTGCAGGCCGCCGACGTGCGCGCCCGCCGTGGACGCGGCGCGCGGGTCCCGGACGCCGGCCGCGCCGCCGGCCGCGGCCTCGCGCGCGGCCGGCACCGCGGCGAAGAGGCGGCACCGCCGGCCCACGCGGCCCCGCGGCTTCCGCGCGTCGGCCCGCGCGCCGAAGACGTCGGCCTCGTCCCAGGCCTGGGCAGGACAAGAGAGCGAAATTCCCAACTTCAAAGGCTCCTATCTCGGCCGATTTCCACTCGTTTCGGCTGATTTTTGGACGAGCGATCATCTCTTGGAGCGCTCTCGAAGCGTGGGTGCTGTTTCCGAAACGCGCGCGCGCGGAACGCCCACGTTGAAGCGACGTTGAATCACCCTTGTCCTGCCCTGTCCCAGGCGCGGCACGCGGGCCGCGCGGCGCAGCGCGCGGCGCAGGGCTGGGGCGCGCCGTCGTGCACGGCGTCGCCGGCCCAGTCCAGGGCGTCGCCGCCCGCCCAGACCTCGCCCGCGAACGTCGCCTCCGAGAAGGGGACCGGGTCGCCGCGTCCGAACTGCTCCGCGTGGACAATTTCGACCTACGCGTCGTCGTCTTCCAAACCACAAAGCCTTCCACGCGGGTCTCGACGGTCGCGTTCGCCGGCGCGCCGGCGAACGTCGCCGTCCAGCCGCAGGCGCCGTCGTAGGCGACCGCGCCGGCGACGCGCGCGGTCTCCGACGCGACCGTCGCGGCGAGGCCGACGCCGCCGCACGCGGCCGGAGCCGGCGGCCGATCCGCGGCGAGCGCGCAGGCCCGGACGGCGACCGCGACGCCGCGCGGTGATGCGACGGCGTCGCCGGCGACGAGCGCGAAGCCGTACGTCGCGGCGAGGAACGGCAGGGACACGGGCTCGGAGCATTGCTGGGGGCCGATGCCCGTCGGCCGCGACAGCGCGGCGTCGACCATGGCCGCGACGGTCTCCGGTGGCGGGCAGTCGGCTGCCGTTGCGGCAGCGAGCAGCAGCGCGGCCGTAGCCCGCCACATTTGAGGGCAGCCCGCCTCACATCATCCCGCGGCCGGAAGTGAACCTCCACCGAGAGGCCGCGATCGAGCGATCGCGCGAAGGACACAGATCAGCTGCCAAACCGAGCCAGGTCGCCATCGGTGTCTGTTTCCGCGGCCGCGCGCCGAGATCCCGAGACGGTGCGCGCGCGCAACATGCACGCCGCGCGCCGCTGGGATCGCGTCGACGCCGCGGGCCATTTTTTTTCCGCGAAGCGAGCCGCGCAAACCGCTCACTTTAAACCCCCGTCGCAGCCACCCGCTCCGCCGCAACCTACACCATGTCCGCCAAGGGTGCCAAGATCTTCAAGACCAAGTGCAGCCAGTGCCACACCGTCGAGGCCGGCGGCGCCCACAAGCAGGGCCCCAACCTGCGAGGCCGCGCGGCGTCCTCCGCCCTTCCGCGCCGGCCCCCGCGCGCCGCGCGCCGCGCGACCCGCCGCCGCGCCGCGCGACCGCGACCCCGCTCGCAGGAACGGCCTCTTCGGCCGACAGTCGGGCCAGGCCGGCGGCTACTCCTACTCCCAGGCCAACAAGGACTCGGGCGTCATCTGGTCCAAGGAGACGCTCTTCGACTACCTCCTCGCGCCGAAGAAGTACATCAAGGGCACGAAGATGGTCTTCGCGGGCATCAAAAAGCCCAAGGAGCGCAACGAGCTCATCGCCTACATGGAGGAGGCCTGCGCATAATTTTCCCGCGCCGCGCGCCCCCGCCCCGCCCCGCCCGCCCCCATCTAACTCTTTCAACGCACGCCCCGAAGTCTCGGCGGCGCCCCGCTGCGGCACGGCGCGAGCCGGCCAGCGCGGGTGCGCCGCGCGCGGTCACCGTCGGGCCGCGCGCGGCGCCGGCTTCAAGTTCGCGCCGTCGCGCGACGCGCCGCGCGTTGGGCCGCGCGCGGCCGCGCCTAGTGCGGCCGCCCAAGCGAAAGAAAGCCCGCCGCAAGGCCGCTCCTTTACGCGCCGACGGAGCCTTTCGTGGAAGCTCTTCTCTAGGGCGTGCGCCATACACGGCATCTTTCCTTCAACCACCCGCTGCTTAAGCTTGGCGCTCTCACTCACTCGACTGCCGTGGCCGCCTCAAGCGCCGTCCCGCGCCGTCCAGCGCCGCACCGACGCAGCGCCGCACGCCGTAGCGCCATGCGCAGGACCGCGCTCCTCCTGCTCCTGCTCCCGAAGGGCGCGACGAGCCTCCAGCGCGCCGCCGCGCCGCCGCGGCGCGCCCTCCGCGCCGCCTCCGCGGCCTCGTCGACGCTCGTCGCCGACGGCGACGCGGCGAAGAGGCTCAGGAAGGCGCGGCCGTCGCGCGACGACGTCGAGCGCATCAGCTGGGGCAAGCCGTCGAAGAAGAAGGGCGTCGGCAGCCGCGGAGTGCCGCACCGCCTCAACGCGGACGAGCGCGACGCGTTCGAGCGCGCGAAGCGCGCGGGCTTCGTCGAGTGCGGCGGCAGCGCCTGGCGCGCGGCGCGCCGCGACGCGCCGCTGCTCAACACGTGGCGCAACTGGTGCGACGCCGTCGCCGCGCCCGCGATCTGCGTGCAGAAGTCCGCGACGGGCGCCGGCGACGTCGTGCTCCTGGACCTGAGCCCCCTGCGCCGGCCGGGCGACTTCGACGCCTGCGCCGCCGAGGCCCGGGGCCTGCCCGGCGCGGCGGCCCTCGCGCCGACGGCCCTCGGCGACGGCGACGCGGACGCGCCCGCGGACGACGATTCCGACTGGCTCGCGCGGCCCGTGCACCAGCTCCCGCGCTACGAGGTCGCCTGGACCGCGGCGACGCGCGGCGACGCCAAGGCCTTCGCCAAGGAGCTCGCCGGCGCCTTCGGCCACGTCGCGAAGAAGGGCGGCGCGCCCGGCGCGAAGCGCGCGCCGGCCGTCAAGGCGGGCAAGGGCCGGAGGCACGGCGGCTACGGGATCTAAGTTTATATGAGGGGTATTCTCTCTCTGATTTTTCGCGTGTGGCTCAATGCTACGTTGCCCTAGTGGCCACTCCCGTTGGGGTCAACGGGGGTGCTAGGGGGGGGTAGCGCGGTGCCGTGGGCGGGGATCGAACCCGGTGCCGGGCCCACGCACGGCAGTAGGGACTATCTTTCTAATTCAACTTCGGCAGGGTCCCAAGAGCGGCCCGTAGGCGCGACCTGACGGCGTCTGGGGCGGCTGGTGGGACCCCACGCAGCTCCATGGAGGAGCCCGGGGGATGGTGGTGGGTTAGCCAGCAGCGCAGCGAGCAGGCGACCCCAAGGCGGGCTTCGAGGTCTTCGCCGCGAAGACCGAGGCCTTCCTGGAGAAGTACGGCTAGCCCAGGATGTTCCGGCCCGACCGACGCGTGCTAATCCCCGATGCTGTGCTTCTTCTCGGCGGGCCGAGGCACCTGCGCGGGGCCGCGTCCGCGGGAGTAATCTATGTGGAACCAGCACGCGGCCGCGGCGTCGCCCCGCGGCGCACCGCAGCCACCGTCGTAGTCGCCGTCGTCGAAGCTCAGGACCTCGGCGTCCGTCGTCGTCGTCCCGTCGCGGTCCGCGGCCGAGTCGACGACGACGCAGGCGCCGCCGTCGCAGGCGACGTCGTAGTAGGCGCAGGCGCCCCGGAACATCGGTGGGGCCTCGAACTGCGTCGACGCGGCCCTCCCGGACGCCGGGGCGGGCGGGGACAGCGTGCCGCATCGGTGATTTTTAAATAAATGTGGAGCTGGCGTGTGTTCCACACGCCTACGCGCGCGCGTTGGCTCCGGAGCCGTATCCCGCCGCGACGACGTTGGCCTGCACCTCCTCGTCGGCGGCGGCGGTCGAGGCGCCCTTGGTCATGACGCCCTCGTAGAAGATGCCGACGGCGTCCCTGGCGTTGTCTCCGCCGACGCCGAGCACGATCGCGCCCTCCTTCCGCATGGGCCGGTAGCCGTCGTGCGGCTTTGGCCCGGCCGACGCGGGCGGCGGCCGCGGGCCGTCGTACATGGACCGGAGGCGACCGGCGGTGGCGTCGCCGCCGAGGATCGCCATCGAGCCGCGCCGGCCCTTGACCAGCGCGGTGACGAACTCGTGGGCCAGCGGCTCGTTGGAGGCCGTCGAGACGTTGCCGCCGTAGTACATGCCGTTTTCGAGGTCGATGCCGACCCACGGGCCCTCCCCCGAGCCCGCGTTGCCCTGCCACGAGGCGTTCCCAAAGTAGACCGCCTCCATGGTGCCGTCGCCGTCGTCCAAGTCGTCGGTCTCCGCGTTGCCGTAGTCCTGCGGGAGGGGCGCGACCGTCGCGGGCGACCAAAAAGACGACGGCGCGGGGACGCCACGAAGCAGCAGCCGTCGTTGAAGCGCGTGCCCGAGGTGACCATGTAGATCGTCTCCTCGTCGTCGCCCGTCGCGACGCCCCGGGTCGCGTCGTTGCGGTACCCGTCGCACTCCTCGAACCTGTGTGGAATTCAACCGCTGGTTTGGGTGGTCCTGACCAAACTTCAGAATTCTCTAGCTCGGTCAAATCGAAGTCGATTCGGCTGATTTTTGGACGAATCGATTGCTCTCGTCGAGTTCTCGAAGCACGGCAGAAGAGCTCGCGTCGAAACTGTCGAATATGCGCACATTGAAGTCGGGTTGAAGATTTGAATTCCACGCAGCCTCGAACCAGGCGCCGTACGCGCGGTGCGCGCCGCCCATGACGATGGGGTGCTTGCGCGCGTCCACGGGGGTGGCCGGCAGCTGGCGCGGGCACGGGTGGTCCCTGCCGTAGCTCGCCGCGCTCGCGGGCGCCGGGGCCAGGTGGTTCGCCATGGGGCTCTGGTCGTAGATGCGCCGCACGACGCAGGTGCTCGCGCCGGCGCAGAAGGCGTCCTGCGCCGCGGCGTCCGCGTAGCCCGCGGCGGTCACGGAGACGTTGGCGGTCGCGCCGTTCGCCCGCATCAGCTCGTAGAGCGGACCGCGGTACGACGCGTAGAGGGAGCGCACCGTCGAGTGGGCGGCCACGCAGGGCGTGCCGGCGCGGCCGTAGATGTCGCAGGGCCGCGACGCCGCGACGCCGCCCGCGTCGAGTGCGGCGAGAGCCGCGACGCTGCCCGCGTCGAGTGCGACGAGAGCCGCGACGGCCAGCAGATGTATTCTCATGCTGTCTTCCTCGGGCTGCCCTAGGTATTTGAGGTTCGTGTTGACGACGCTGTTGCAGCCGCGGCCGGTCACGTCGGTGGTGCGGCTAATGCTGAAGGTTAATTTTCCTTGCTACCCCGAGACGAAACGTCTGGACGGTCGTGTTGGCGTCGCGCGGGCGGGCTGGTTGGCCGACGCGCGGAGCGGCGGGGCGGCGGACGCTCGCGGCCTCCTCGACGTCTACCGCCCCGCCGGGAGCTTCCACCGACGCGCGGCCGCGGCGCCGCTCGCTGTTGGGCTGCCCGCCTTGGGACCTGATCGGCCGGCGCCATGCTCGGCGAGAAGTACCACGACGAGCACGACCAATTCGACCACCTCCACGTGTCGTCGCGGTCCGTGGCCTTCGACGAGGAGTACACGCTGGGCCAGGAGCTGGGCACGGGCGCGATGTCCGTCGTGCGCATGGCCGAGCACAAGCACAGCGGGCGGCGGCTCGCGGTCAAGTGCATCGCCAAGGAGCCGCTGAACCTGGACGACGAGGCGGCCCTGCTCCAGGAGGTGAACATCCTGCAGAAGCTGGACCACCCGAACATCGTGAAGCTGCACGCGTTCTTCGACGAGCCGACGATGTTCTATCTGGTGATGGACCTCATCGAGGGCGGCGAGCTCTTCGAGCGCATCGCCCAGAAGGAGTTCTACAGCGAGAAGGAGGCGCGGGACCTGATCCTGATCCTGCTCCAGACGATCAAGTACTGCCACGACCTGGGCATCGTGCACCGCGACCTCAAGCCCGAGAACTTGCTGTGCGTGTCGTACGACGACGACTCGTCGATCAAGCTCTGCGACTTCGGGTTCGCGGCGAAGCTCACGGGCACGCGGAGCCTCCACCAGCTCTGCGGCACGCCGGGCTACGTCGCGCCGGAGATCCTGAACCGCCAGCCCTACGGCAAGGAGGTCGACATGTGGTCCATCGGCGTGCTGACGTACATTTTGCTCGGCGGCTACCCGCCCTTCTACGACGACGACCACGAGCAGCTCTACGAGCGCATCAAGGCCGGCGTCTACGAGTTCCACGACGACTTCTGGTGCAAGATCTCCTACGAGGCCAAGGACTTCATCAACGCGCTCCTCACCGTGGACCCGGACGCGCGCGGCGCGGCGAGCGACGTGCTCCAGCACCCCTGGATCATCCAGGACGGCGAGAACATCAAGGGCACGTCCCTCCAGTCGAACCTGAAGGAGCTCAAGCAGTTCCAGGCGAAGAAGCGCTTCAAGGCCGCGGCCAAGGCCGTCATCGCGACGCACCGGATCAAGCTCGCGTTCGGCATCGGCGGCGGCAACAACAACCCGTCCAAGGCGCTCATGGCGGGCTTCAACGACATCTACGAGATCGGCCGCGAGCTCGGCACGGGCGCGTTGTCCATCGTCAAGCAGTGCACGCACCGGAGCAGCCGCGAGTCCTACGCGTGCAAGTGCGTCAAGAAGCACCAGCCGAACCCCGCGTGGAATTCAAATCTTCAACCCGACTTCAATGTGCGCATATGCGACAGTTTCGACGCAAGCTCTTCGACTGTGCTTCGAGAACTCGACGAGAGCAATCGATTCGTCCAAAAATCAGCCGAATCGACGTCGATTTGACCGAGCTAGAGAATTCTGAAGTTTGGTCGGGACCACCCAAACCGGTGGTTGGAATCCACGCAGGCTGAATTTGGAGGACCGCGAGAGCCTGCTCGCGGAGGCCCAGCTCATGAAGGAGCTGGACCACCCGAACATCGTCAAGCTCCACGGCGTCTACGACGAGAAGCAGTCCTACTACCTCGTCATGGACCTGATCCAGGGCGGCGAGCTCTTCGACCGCATCGTCAAGAAGGAGTTCTACAGCGAGAAGGAGGCGCGGGACAAGGGTGATTCAACGTCGCTTCAACGTGAATGTTCCGCGCGCGCGCGTTCTGGGAAAAGCATGCACGCTTCGAGACCGTTCCGAGAGATGATCGCTCGTCCAAGAATCAGCCGAAACGAGTGGAAAACGGCCGAGAGAGGAGCCTTTGAAGTTGGGAATTTCGCACTCTTGTCCTGCCCAGGCGAGAAGGAGGCGCGGGACCTGATCCTCGTGCTGCTGCGCATCCTGCTCTACCTCCACAAGGACTGCATGATCGTGCACCGCGACATCAAGCCGGAGAACCTGCTCTGCGTCTCGGAGAACGACGACACGGACATCAAGCTCTGCGACTTCGGCTTCGCGGCGCGGCTCGACAAGGAGAACCCGGAGGCGTGCCTGACGCACCTCTGCGGCACGCCGGGCTACGTCGCGCCGGAGATCCTGAAGCGCGTGTCCTACGGCGCCGCCGTGGACATGTGGTCCGTGGGCGTGCTCACGTACATCCTCCTCGGCGGCTACCCGCCGTTCTACGACGACGACCAGAACCGGCTCTACGCGAAGATCAAGAGCGGCAACTACGAGTTCCACGAGGACTACTGGGGCGGCGTGTCCAAGGAGGGCAAGGACCTCATCATGAAGCTGCTCACGGTCAACCCGTCGGACCGCATCACCGCGGAGCAGGCGCTCGGCCACCCGTGGATCGTCTCCGACGACGAGGCGCTCAAGGGGTCGGACCTCGGCGTCAACCTGCGCGCCTTCAAGCGCTACAACGCCAAGCGCAAGTTCAAATCCGCGGGCAAGGCCCTCATCGCCGCGCGGCGGCTGTCGCTGGCCATGCGGCCGGACCCCGCGGTCCGCCGCTGAGGCGCGCGCGCGCGCGCCCTCCCTCCCCGCCGCGTCATAGGAACCTCTCGCTTACGGCGGCTTCCGGAGCGTGCGCGCCGGCGGGTGGTAGCCGCGGGGCACGCCGAGGGGGCCCGCGTTCCACTTGCCGACGCCCACGGTCCGCGGCGGCTCGGGCTTGAAGACCGCGCGCCCGAGCGCGCGCCCGTCGGCGTCCGTGTGGGCCCTCGGGCCCTCGAGGCTCGAGAGCCGGGGCGCCGTCGGCGCGTGGTAGTCCGCGCGGCCGGCGTAGCTCGAGCCGGCCTGCGTCCGCGGGTCCGCGTCGCCGGAGAAGCACTTCGCGTGATAATGAAACCGCAACTTTCTCCCGTCCCTGACCATGACGGGTTGGCCCTTGTAGACGGGCTTCCTGCAGGCCCGGCAGGTCACGGTGCGGTTGATGGGCGTCGGACCTACCGGGAACGTTCGAACAAGTGCGCGCGCGTTGCGGGCTCGCCGCCGGACTCCTGGGAACGTTCGAAACGGCGCTCCGAACGAGTGCGCGGGCGTTGCGGGCTCGCCGCCGGACACCGTCGCGGACCGGACAGCTCCCAGTAGGCGTCGCCCGCGCGCAGGTTCGCGCCGGTGACGGCGGTCATGGTTGACCACTTGGGCAGCCCTCAGGGGAGGCCCGGGCCCATAAGGTCGGGTTCAAGGTAGTCGTTGATGTTCGGTTGCTGCCTGCGTGCAAGAGCATGGCATGTCATAGCGCGACGGGCTGCATGGCGCGGGCTAGCGCTGAGAGCACTCGGCTCGCGCCGAACGCCGCGTGAGTGACCGGCTCCGCTGGGACGCAGCGCAACGTACATGGTCCGGCTGGTCGCGTGGCTCCTCGGCGCGTGGCTCCTCGGCGCGTGGCGCGCGGCGGCCTGCGTGGAGCACGCCGTCGTCGTCGCCTGGCATTACGGCGCGGACAACGAGAGCCAGGCGCTCATGCGCCGCATCCTCGCGCAGCAGGTCGAGGCGCGCGACCGCTACCTCGGGCCGCGGTCCCTCTTCCTCGTCGTCGAGAACGACGCGGCGGACGCGAGCCGCGAGACCGTCGAGGCCGCGGGCTGTGTGGGAATCAAATCTTCAAACCGACTTCAATGTGCGCGTATTCGAATGTTTCGACACGAGCACTTCCGCCGTGCTTCGAGAACTCGCTGAGAGCAATCGATTCGTCCAAAAATCAGCCGAATCGACTTCGATGTGACCGAGCTAGAGAATTCTGAAGTTTGGCCCCGACGTCCCAGCTCACTGGTTGATTTGCACACAGGCCGCGGGGCTCGCGTACGCGCGCAACGGCGACTACCCGGCCTTCGGGTTCGAGCTCGGCGCGTGGCGCTGGGCGATGCGGCGCGCGCTGCCCGGCGCCGGCCTCTGCGCCGACGCCGTCGTCTACCTCACGCAGGACAGCCTCGTCCTGAACCGGCCGCCGCTCGCGTACCCGCCGCCGCCGTCGCTCAACGCGACGCGCATCTACGCCTTCGACGGGTCGAAGCAGCTGCTGGGCGTGCCCCACGGCGAGCGCCACTGGATCCCCGAGGCCGCCGCGGCCTTCGCGTCGGTCGCCGGCGCGCCGGACGCGGCGATCTCGCCCGGGAAGGCCTTCGCGGGCTGCTTCGGCCCGAACGTCGTCGGCACCTACGCGGCCTGGGTCGCGCTCGAGGCGCGCGGCTTCTTCGACATGATGCGCGTGCGCACGAAGCTCGACGAGCAGCGCTCCGAGCGCGTCCTGGGCCTCTTCCTCGAGCGCGACGCGGCGTCGCGGGACCGGTCGTCCATCGGCGGCGACTACCTCCGCGCGCAGCGCCCGTCGCGGGCGTCGCTCGCAGGGCAGGACAAGAGAGCGAAATTCCCAACTTCAAAGGCTCTGATCTCGGCCGTTTTCCACTCGTTTCGGCTGATTTTTGGACGAGCGATCATCTCTTAGAACGGTCTCGAAGCATGCATGCTTTTTCCGTAACGCGCGCGCGCGGAACACTCACGTTGAAGCAACGTTTAATCACCCTTGTCCTGACCAGGTCGCTCGCGGACCTGCCCTTCCGCAAGATCATGGGCCACAAGGCGCGGTCCCGGGAGCGGTGGCACGCGCGGTGAGTCGGCGGCGAACACGCGGGCGTTACGAGGCGCCCGCCTAGAAGGCGCGGGCGCCGGCCCTGCGGCCCGCGGCGACGGCCGGCTCCGGCGCGCGGAGCGGGAGCGTCGTCTCGTCGTCGCCGTCGCGGAACGCGGGCCGCGCGGCCGCGTCGAGGCGCGTCGAGGCGCGTCGGCGTGCTCGACTCGACGGCGAAGCCCAGCAGATGGACGTCGCGGGCGCGGCATCTCGAGCGGCCGGGCTCGAGTGGCGACGTCGCCGCGCTCCAGGAGCGCGAGCCCGACGGACGTCGCGGTTGTGTGTGGTGTGGTCTTAGGGGTGTGGGCGGGGTGAGGGGGGGGAGGCGACCGGCGGGTGAGCTTGAAGTCGCTATGGGCCTCGCGCTGCACGAGCTTAGCAGGGCTGGACAACGACCAGGGGGTTCTCCATGTCGCTGACGTGCTTTTGGCGTGAGAGATCATCCATGGCCCGGCGCGTTCGAGCGGCGCACCCCGAGGGCCTTACCAGTCGCCCCCCGCGCCGCCGGAGCCGGCGATCATGTCGCGGCGGTTCGCGTTGAGGCGCCGCGCGTCCTTGTCGCGCTTCGGGCAGTCCGTGATGCGGTGGCCGAGGCCGCCGCAGAACGCGCAGCCCTTCGCGTCGCCCGCGAGGCGGTTCGCGTCGGGCTCGTCGAGGACCTGGAGCACGGGCGGCACGCGCTGCTTCGCCTCCACCAGCAGATGCTTGAGGTCCAACAGGCTCGACGGCTCGACGGTCTTGTTGATGAACGTCGTCGCGACGCCCGTCTTGCCGCAGCGGCCCGTGCGGCCGATGCGGTGCACGTAGTTCTCGATCTCCGCGGGCATGTCGAAGTTGATGACGTGCTGGATGTCCGGAAAGTCCAGCCCCTTGGCCGCGACGTCCGTGGCCACGAGCACGTCCTTGGCGCCGCGCTTGAACGCGTCGATCGCGCCGTTGCGCTCGCCCTGGTCCTTGCCGCCGTGGATCGACACGGCCTCGACGCCTTTTAACAGTAAATACTCGTGGATGTCGTCGACGTCGCCCTTGCGCTCGCAGAAGATGACGACGGGCGGCGCCGTCTTCTGCAGGCACTCGAGGAGGTAGACGATGCGCGCCTCGAGCTTGACGTACTCGACCTCCTGGATCACGTCGAGGTTCGCCGCGCCCGCGCGGCTCACGTTGACGAGCACGGAGCGCACGAGGGCGCCCCGCGCGAAGTCCTGGAACTTCTGGGGCATCGTCGCGGAGAAGAGCAGCGTCTGCCGCTGGGCCTCGAAGTGGTTCATGACCTTGTGCACCTCCTCGTCGAAGCCGAGGTCGAGCATGCGGTCGCCCTCGTCGAGGCAGAAGTAGGAGCAGCGGCCCAGGCGCACCTGGCGCGACTCGAGGAAGTCCTTGAGCCGCCCGGGCGTCGCGACGACGGCGTGGACGCCCCGGCGCCGCAGGTCGTCGAGCTGCGGGCCCTTGGGCTCGCCGCCGATGCAGCACGCGGACCGCAGCACGTCGCCCCGCCGCCCGCCGGCGCCGCGCAGGCGCGCCATGAAGAAGTCGACGACCTCCCAGGTCTGGCGCGCGAGCTCGCGCGAGGGACATAAGACGAGGCCGACGGGGCCCTCGCCGGCCCGCAGCGGCGACCGCCGCTCCGCCTCGAGCGCGCGCACGATGAGGGGCACGCTGAAGGCCACGGTCTTGCCCGAGCCCGTGAAGGCGATGCCGATCATGTCGCGGCCCGCGAGCGCGACGGGCATGCCCTGGACCTGGATGGGCGTCGGCCGCGTGATCCGCTTCTCGCCGAGCGCGTCCAGCAGGTCCCGCTCGAGGCCCATGCCCGCGAAGGACTTGATGGGCGCCGGCACGTCGTCGCCGTCGACGAGGATGCACCACTTCCGGCGCAGCTTGTCCGCGTCGGCCTCGGACATGGCGTCGCGCGGCCGCCAGTCGACGCGGAGCGACTCCGTGAAGCGCGCGTCCGTGGCGATCTCCGCCGCGGACTGGAGCGCGTTCGTCTGCACGCGGCTCGCCTCGCTGAGCATGCGCCGCTCCTCGGCCTCCTGGCGCGTCGTCGCCGCGGCCGCCGCGCCGAGCTCCGCCTCGGCGTCCCGGAGCGCCGCCGCGTCCGCGAGGAGCGTCCGCGGCGCCGCGGGGGCCTCGGGCGCCGGCGCGCCGCCGCCGCCGCCGTCGTCGTCGTCGTCGGAGCCCGACTCGGCGCCCGCGGCGGCGCGGCGCGCCCGCGACGCCTCGAGCTGCGCCGCGCGCCGCTCCTTGAGGGGCACCCAGGCGTCGCCGCCGGAAACGCCGTCCTCGCCGCCCTCGACGGGCTCGCCGTTCACCGTCCAGCAGTTGTGGAAGTCGCTCCAGACCCGCTCCTCGACGACGCGCCGGCGCTTGCGAGGCTGGTCGGCCATATCGCGAGGCGCCGCAGAGGCCGTCCTTGACGTCTCCTTGACGTCTCCTTGACTGCATCGGCGACTTGCCACAGGCGCAAGACGATGCGCGCGCCTCTGGCCGCCCTCGCAGCGACCGCAGCACTCACTATCGCAACCGCCGACGACGTGCGACTCCGCCGCGTCGCCGACGGTCTGGTCCGCGTCACACTCTCCTGCGCGGGCGCCGCCCGCGGCGGGTGCGACCTGCCGGCCTGGGCCTGCGACGGCGACCGGCCAGCGACCGACGCGCGCGTCGTCAGCGCCGTGACGCACGGGCGCTGGGACTTTGAGGCCTGGGGCGACGGCGGGCTGCCCGCCGGGGGCTTCGACGCCGTGCGGCGCGGCGGCGGCGCGCCCGCGTGGCGCGTCGACGTATCGGAGCGGTTGAGGGGGTCGACGTGGGACGGCTTCCGCGCGCGGTGCGCGCCCAACGCGACGGCGCGGTCGCCGGCCGCCGCGGCGCTGCTGGCGGAGGCGACGTACGCGTCCGTCGGCGCGGCCTACGCCGCGGGCGGCGCCCGCGCGACCGCGGACCTCGTCGTCGCCGAGGCGGCCGCGGTGCGCGTCTTCGGCGGCGCCGTCGACGGCGCGCGCCCGCGGCGCGCGGCGGTCCTCGTGGCGCAGCACGTCGCGGCCCGGGACCGGTCGCGGGGCGCCCTGGTGTACCGCGTGGCCGCGCGCGACGCCGGCGACGTCGTCCTGTCCGCGGTGATCCCGAAGGCGCTGTCGCCGCGGCTCGCGGCGTCGACGCTCGCCGTCGGCGGCGCCGCGCGGCCGCTGCTCGGCGCGCCGGGCGTCGTCCTGGTCCTCGCGGACGGCGCCGAGGGCCTCGTCGCCGGCGCGCACGCGCTCGAGGTGGCGCTGTATCTGGAGGCGGGCGAAGAGGCGACGGTCTCGGTCGCGTACGAGGCGTCGCTGCCGGCCTTCGACGAGTGGCCGCCGGACCAGTACCGGGGCCTCGACGTGGGCCCCGCGGCGGCCTTCTACGGCGACGGTGCCGCGTCCTACGGCGACGCGGTCCTCGTCGCCCTCCCGGAGACGGACCTGTCGATGCCGTTCAACGTCGCCACGCTCCAGTCGACGCTCGTCGCCTTCTTCGTCGGCTCCGTCGCCGCGGGGCTCGCCCGGCGGAGCTCGACGCCGCGGCGCTAAGGTGTGCGAACCCCCTACCTTAGATGCCCGGGTGCGCGAGGAGCCGCCGGCACGCGGCGTCGACGTCGAGCGACGCCGCGGCGCACAGCGCGGCCGCGGCGCCGTCGTCGAGCCAGCGGAGCCGCGCGAGGGCCGCGTCGCCCTTGAGGTCGGCGACGTGTGCGAGCTTCGGGTCGCCGGCCGCCGCGGCCTGGAGCCCCGCGAAGAGGATGTCGCGCATTGTGATGCGCTTGTCGCGCGCCTTGAGCGTCTCCGGCCGCGCGGCGTCGGCCGCCGCGGACGCGAGCGCGTCGAGGAACGTCGGCCCGGCGACGAACTCGCCGAAGAGCTGGACCTTGGGCCGGAGCGTGAAGACGCGGTGGTAGACGCCCGGCCGCATGAGGAAGAAGTCGCCCGCGTCGAGGAGCGCCAAACGCGCGGACGGCAGCTCCGCGAACGCGGCCCAGGGGAAGTCCGCGTCGTGGTCGCCGTCGTCGCCGAGGCCGGCGGCCGCGTCGCCGTCGGCCATGGACCACGTGAGGAGCAGCTGCTGGCCCGCGAGGACCTTGATCCACGTCGCCGTGCCGTAGTTGTCGCGGTGCTGCGACGTGAGCGCGCCGGCCTGCATGAGCGCGAGCTTGGGCCGGAAGACCTCGCGCTTGCCCTTCTCCGCGAGCTTCCCGAGCCAGGACGCGTCCGCGAACCAGGGCGGCGGCGCGATGCGCCGCGACCCGTTCAGGAACGACGGCTTCCACTCCGTGACCTTGTTCGCGCCCGCGCCCGCGGCGATGCACGCGCGCAGCGCGGTTTCGTCGCCGGCCGCGTAGGCGGCGTCGCTCCGCGCCGCGGCCCTGGCGAACGCGCCAAAGTCGACGGAGTTCGACGACTTGTCGAGGTCGCGCCACGACTTGTCGTCGCCGCCGCCGGACGGCGCAAAGAGCGTCGACATCTGCGACGCGGCCCGGAGCGCCTCCATGACCGCGCCGCCGCCGCGCCGCCGGCCCTCGGCCTCGAGCGACGCGCCGAGGTCGCCGACGGCCCAGGTGCCGGGCCGGAACTTGTAGACGCAGTCGCGGGGCCGATTCCGGAGCAGCGCCGCGAGGTCGCCTGGGCAGGAAAAGGGTGATTCAACGTCGCTCCAACGTGAGTGTTCCGCGCGCGCGCGTTCCGGGAAAAGCATCCACGCGTCGAGAACGTTCCGAGAGGTGATCGCTCGTCCAAAAATCAGCCGAAACGAGTGGAAAACGACCGAGATAGGAGCCTTTGAAGTTGGGAATGTCGCACTCTTGTCCTGCCCTGGAGGTCGCCGAGGCTCTTGGGCTCGCGGGGCTCGTAGCCGACCCAGACGTCCGCGCCGCGCGGCGACGCGTCCGCGGCCGCGAGGAACGCCGCCTCCTCGCCGTGGGCCGCGAGCACGCGGCTCCGCAGCACCTTCCGGCAGTCGCCGTGGTCGCGCGCGCGGAGCGGTTTTCGCGGCGCCGGCGCGGGCTTCCTCGCGGGCTGCTTCGCCGCCGCCGCGCCGTCGGCCTTCGCCGCGGGCGGCTTCGCCGCCGCGCCCTTCTTCGGCGCGCCCTTGGGCGCCTTCGCCGGCGCGCCCTTGGGCGCCGCCTCCCGCTTCGCCCGGGGCTTCTTCGCCGGCGGCGGCGGCGCGCCGCCGTCCGCCGCGACGTCCGCGACAACTTTCCGCTTCGGCGCGGTCTTCGGGCGCCGCGGCGGCGGCGGGAGGCTCGCGAGGTCCCGGAAGCACGCCGCCGGCGCGACGAGCGCGCCCGCGTGGACCTCGAGGCGCCGCAGCGCGCCGAAGACCTGCTTCCGGTCCGACGGGCCCGGCTTCCGCGGCAGCGGCACGTTGCCCGCGCCGTCGACCTCGGCCGCGGCGGCCGCGGCCGCGGCGCCGACGCGCGCGCCGTCGACGAAGAAGACCGTGCGGCCCGCGGCGCCGTGCGCGACGATCTCGTAGAGCCCGTCCGCGCGCCGCGGCGCCACGTCGAGGAGATCGCACGGCGGCGCGCACGGGAACCACTCGTCGCGCGCCCACACTCCTAAAAGCTGGCGCCCGCCCTCGTGGAGCACGCAGACGTGGGCGTCCTTCGACGCGCCGCCGTAGGTCGCGACCATCCACCGCGCGATGCCCGCCTTGCGCGGGTTCGCGTCGCGAAACGGCGCGCCGACGACCGCGACGGTGTACCTCGCGCCGAGGTCCAGCGGCGGGGCGAAGCGCAGCACGTCGCGGTCGCCGGCGAAGAGCGCGCGGTCGTCGCCCAGCGACGCGCCGGCGAGCTCGCCGCGCGGGCCGTCGGGCGCGTCGACCCAGGCGCCCGCGACCGCCACGGGCGCCGCGCAGCCGCGCCGCGCCTTGCCCGCGTGCTCGGGCAGCACGACCGCGTAGGTCGGCACGGGCTTCTCCGCGTTGGTGACGGGCTTGTCCTTGGCCATCGGTCTTTTTTATGGTGAGCGGTCTCGATCACTCGTGAGCACCCATCGACTTTGAATCGCTTGAAGAGTTTTTGCAGTTTTCAACAGAAACCGCCGAGTTCGCGGAGAGCGACCGGCGCATGGAACTTGAGGCTGCCTTCCAGCCTAACCACGACGGCATGGAACCTTGAGTTGGCTGCCTTCCGCGCGAAGGCACAGCCCGATCGCAATGGGCAATGGGAGGAGCAAGGTGCAGGACGCGAGCTGTAGCTTCGAGGAGGACGGAGAGGACGAGCCCGTCGCTTTGAGGAGGACGGCGCCGGAGGTCCCTCTGCCGCCCGTCCGACAGCCCAACCCGCCCGGCCCGAGGTGGCTCGCCCCGCTCACGGCCCCGCTCACGGCCCCGCCCGTCGACGTGCCGAGGCCGGCGGCGAACGGCGCGCGCGCGGAGGGGACGCGCGGCGCCGAGGGCGCCGCGGCGGCGAACGGCGCGCGCGAGGGGACGCGCGGCGCCGAGGGCGTCGAGCCGGCGGCCGGCGCGCGCGCGGAGGGGGCGCGTGGCGCCGAGGGCGTCGAGCCGGCGGCCGGCGCGCGCGCGGAGGGGGCGCGCGGCGCCGAGGGCGTCGCGGCGGCGGCGGTGCCCCGCCTGGCGCGGCGCGCGTCTGAAACCTTCCGGCGGAGCCTCTCGCGGCTGCCGTCGATGCGCCACAGGGACCCGGCGGACCTGGGCACGTACTACCGGCAGGTCGCGGAGCGCCTCGTGCCCGAGAGCACGGTGAACCGGGCGGCGAAGCTGCGTCTCTACCGGCCCGGCCACCGCGCGACGACCAACCCGCCGCTCGAGGACGGCGAGGCGACGAGCGGCGCGCTGCGGCTCCTCGTCGACAAGTTCCGCGGCGAGCTGGAGTACGATTTGGACATGGTCGGCGACTACCGGAATTTGGGCCTCTTCCTCGTCTACTTCCTGCTGCTGCTCACGGTCCTCGCGCTCCAGCGCCAGGTCGGCGTCGGCCCGCTGCGGCGGCAGTACGCGTCCGTCTACCGGTCATTCCTCGGCCTCG